TTTAGCATTTTTAGCCTTTTTTTGTTGTTATTGCATTGCACATTCTATCCCTTTTTATATTGGATCGTTTCAGGTACTTTCTCTTTTGCATAAGGTGTTTTGTAGTTTTTGGAGTCTCTTGACGGTTGCGGATTAGCTTGTTGCTAGGCTTGGTGGGCTTACAAGGAGTTATTGGGCTTTACGGATCCATTTTAGAAGAATTGGGCTTGATATGTTGTAGACTTGGATGAGATGGACTTTGGAAGATGGGCCATGGACTCTGGAAGATGAGCTTGGACTATCCATATTGAAGCTTGAAGATTATTGGTCCATTTTGAATTATGTGAGGTGTGAAGGGGACCAAACGAATCTATGGTAATGGGTGGAGTAATGGAAGAAGGAGCCAATAACATTTTAGCATTATTTGCGAGGGCGAGGTCTCACTCACACAACCCTGTGTGGCCACCCACGCAACTACCATTTCGGGGGAATTTTCGTCTTGCAGCACACACTTCAAAATTTCCACCACTGGAGCATCTTATAGGAGATTTTGGAGAGCTAGAGCTATCATATTCTCATTCTTCTAGTAATTGCTAATTTCTTGATGTTAAAACACTTTTATGATTATTTTCTTGTTTCCATGTGTAACTAATTACTTTATTTTGGTTGACTTGGGCTAAAACCCTTGAATATTTCTAAGTTTTGAAGGATTCATGTTTGGTTATCATTTATCTCATGTGTATGATTCTTAGCTCATAATTCTTATGCTTGTTTAATACTTTGATCATGACCTTGATTCTTGATGAGCAATTGTTGGTCTCTTTCTTTGATTTAGTAACGAATCATTGAATTTGCTTAGGACAAGGACTTTATGATGGTAGAAATCATCTCTAGCTTATGGATCATGACTCTTTTATGAATCTGTAAGCATTGACATCCTCCAGGAATTAGGAATTCCATCATTCTTAAGGCTAATAAATTTTCTTGGGTTCAATTGCTTCAATAGAGTTCTTAATTTTGATTAAGAAGGTGTGTTGTGGGCTTCCCCAACTTCCATACTACCTTTGAAGAATTTTGGCATATCAGGCTTCATGATTGTTATAATCAGTCTGGGTTGAATGATAAACTTACATATTGAATCCTAATGATACACAAACAAATATTCATTGTGTTGAATTGCCTTAGTCGACCAATTATCTCCAATATTTGATCATCTCACCATCTTGCTTAATTGCAAGCATTTTAGTGTTTCAAATCTTTTAGTTTTCAAACAAATCACAAAAACCCCCCCTTTTAGTTTAATTGTACTTAATTAGTTTTATTTCATTTGTTCAATTGGATTACATTGGTGATTGAATACAACCATTTCCTCGTGGAAAGATCCCCTTTTTACTACTATATTACGTTTTATTTGCAAGCAAAATGGTGTAATTTGCTTGGTGGTCTTGACATCCCACCAAGTTTTTTCGTCGTTGCTTGGGAAATTGGTTTATTATTATTTGATTGTTTGTGCCTAGGTCTACAAGAACCGATAAACTACTCTACAATCATGAGATTGAAAAAGAAGCAAAAAGATTGAAAAAATTGGCCAAACAAGCAAAACAAAAACAAATCGTTCATGCTTCTTCTTCTTCTCCACAAGTCAACATAGAAGACCAAGTTCATACTTCAAGTGATACCGACACCGAGCTGAGTTCCCCAATTGTTGGTCATTTCTTTGAAGACGTTCCGTTTGAAAACTACGTAGCGATAAAATCAAACTCCGCCTCATAATCCCAACCCAAACAATCAAGATGCCAATACCCCACCCCAACAACAAAGACAATAACACCACCAAGAACGTCTCATAGATCTGCCACCACCTTGGAATTATGAGAATCCTAACTTACCCCCTCCTAACCAAAATCAGCCAAATTACCAACAACCAAAACCACAAAACCAAAAACCTCCACTAAAACAACCAACCTCCAAACAATGTCATTAAAGTTCAACACCATCAATTCCTTCAACAACAACAACAACCCATTTACCAACAACCTCAAATATACCAATATCCTATGTATCAACAACAACAACCCCTCTACAATCAATATCCTAACTATCAACCATATCCACCACAAATTTTCAATCACCAACAATACCCATACCAATGATACCAACAACATCCTAATTACATGCAACAGAACCCCAATCCATCCAATCCCCTCAAGAGTTGACACTTCGACAAATGATGGAACCAAAATTTACCTAGAAATCTTTTGGATTTGTTTATCCCGCGAATCGTCGAAGGATTGAATTTAAGTCAAGTTTCATATATCAACTCACAAAGTTCCATGGTTTGGATAGAAAATACCCTCAAAGGCACTTGAAGTCTTTTCATATGATATGTGTTAGTATGTTGCCCAAACATGTGACATTGGATGATTTCAAGTTAATCGCCTTCCCACTCACCTTGGAAGATAAAGCTAAAGAGTGGTTATTCAACATACCATCAAGATCTATTCACACATGGGAAGAGTTACTCGATCTGCTTTGATCAATCTGGTATACCTGAAAACTGGTGGATTTGTTGATCCTCTTTTCGATAACCTTCTCAGAATACCCAATAACATCCTTTTCACTTTGATCTATAAAAAATACAAACATCTTGTCATGCATAGTAATTTATAGTAAAATAACCATGAAAGTGCTACAATTTAAATAGTTACATGCAACATTATGCCACCGTTGTTGCACTGTTGCTCGAAAGAAGTCAATCAACATTGTTATTGGTAGTTTCCACGCGTCTTTTGATAACACATTGATGGACTCAGCGCGCTATTTGATGTCATTAAATTATAACGAACCACTAGGAAACACGACCTTGCCCATTTCTTGTTACTGATTTTGTTTATCCATGTACGACAGTCATCAGATAACGTGCGTTGTAACTTAGCCAAAGTTTCTTTGAATTCAAACTCTCTGTAAGCTTTTGCAGCCTCCCAAAACAAAATTTTGATTCTTTCTTGTTTCCCGATCCTTATTCGCATATTCATTAACAAATGATGACAACAGAGTCCGTGATATGCTTCCGGGAACACGGCTTGAATGTCCATTTCGATGGAATTGGATCTATCTGATATGATAGCCAAATACGTCAAGTCCTTAATACATTCTTTGAGTATTGATAAAAACCATATCCATGAATCCCCACTTTTTGTTTTTCCAACACCAAATTCTTTTGGGAGGATTTAGTTATTATCGTCAATGCATACTGCTAGGAACGTCGTGCCTAAGTATTTTCCTTTAAGATTTAAAGCATACATTTTAGCAATCCGTGCTTGCCCATATGAAATATGTACACTAAGACGGTCATTTAAAGTTTGTTGGTTCTGTTTCCCTCACGACATATTACATGTACTATCAGCTAATATGCCCTTAAAGAAGATACCCAATACCTTTTTGTTGGCTTGGGGATGATGGGGAAGGAGATATGTGTTTGAGCAAGTGTGTATGTTCGATAGTTTAATGACTTGAAATGAATCAATATCTTTATCTTTTGTAGCCCATAACCGCCATTTATAATTTTTTCACAAAGAAAAGAGCTTCATACCTATCTTTTGTTTATTTGTTCACTTTAATTTGAAAGCCTTTAGTAACACATTTGAATCCTAATTTAAGCTTAAGTTCTTCTTTTCTTTTGAAGAGTTGATAGCACTTTGTATAAGAAGAATAATTGTGGGCTACATTACCTTTATGTTTTTATTGAGCTGATTCAAGTAATGGTAAAGGTTCAGACATCCCAGAGTGAGTGGTTTGTGTTTCTTCATAATCAGAAAAATAATAATGATACTTTTCCTCTTGGGCTTTTCAGGGTTTTAGGGGCTCAGTTTTCTCCTCTTTAGATTCAGTGTCATGCCCAACAAAATTAATGAAACTCTTGAAATGCTCAACTGGCTCTCCATGTGGAATTATATTGTCATCATTAACCAACAACATTAGTTTAGCCTGATCATTTGCTGATGGAGCATCATCAGCTGCAACCTTACCTTTATACATTATAATCATCCCATTGTACATGTTCATTGTAAGAAGGAACATGATTAATTTTCATAGGTAATATATTACAAATTTGGTTACTTCCAGCACCGGAAGACCTATTGCCATCAAAACGATTTTTCGCGGGAGATCGATGAATACCATTTTCCATAACATTATTAACAACAAACAATTATACTGTGTTAGGAGGCATACTACTAAAAAAACTAACAAATATCTGACATCACTATCGTCAAGAATCTGCATAATTATATTTGATCAATAACTTGAAAATATAGACGTATTTGATTAGTGTCTAACATGGACTTGGAAGCAACCAACGTCATTAACCCACCAAAGTTGATATTATTGCTTATATCTACACCAAAACATGTGTAGTCTAGAGCAATATACTGCATAGATCATTCGATACGCTGACATTGCCCTCAACTAGAAATTAACACTAAAAAGTCCTTATACATACTCATTTTTTTAGTATATGAAAACTATTAAAACGGGGTTTCAAACAATGGAGGAACAAAGACAAAGAAATATACTCCTTGTGGAAGAATAAAGAAGAGACAAATGTCTGATCTAACCACCACCAACTTTGGAATGAACATAACTATTCCAGAATACTATGTTTTGAAGTAAGTGGTCATTTTACAAAATTTATAAAAAAAATTGGTTATTGTTATCGAATTAATCATTTATACTAATTAGATTACTCAATTTTCGATTACTCAATGTAAAATGTTAATAATTGTTTTAAACGTTAACAAGTCTTAGTTAACCAGTATTCCCCTGTCCTAAACATTTTGTTAATAAATTTGGTTATCGTTAATAAAAAATAATAAACTTAATTCGATCAAATAAATATAAATAATTAAATATACATATATAACTAAAAAAATTGTAAATACATGTATTCATGTAATATGTTTTCTCTATTTGACAAACATCAATAATATCTACAATTTTACATCACAAATGGGAAAAACTTGTCAAAGTAAGGGTACCCATACTTTCCATACTTTTACATCACAATCCAAACTCCCACTGTAAAGTAAATAAGATGTACCACTCGAATCAACAGAAGTACAACTATCCAATGCACCAGCCAAACACTTGACTGGACCAGAATGCCCCTCCAGCACACCCACTCGAATAAATTTTATTCCATCAATACCCTTTCTCCATATCCTTACTGTTTTATCCGCTGACCCGGTCAAAACCAAATCTCCCACCACCGCAATACACAAAATCGCCATAGCGTGCCCCCTCAGAGCACCGGCCACCACCATATGCCGCCCTTCACCGTCGCTCTCTCCGCCATCACCACCATCATCATTAGGAAGCTTTTTCCACACGATGATCGACCGATCACAAGCACCGGAATACAAAAGAGAGCCATCCGTGCTTAAAGCCAACGCATTCACCGCCGATTTGTGTTTTTCCAAGGTGGCCACCAGCTTATGTTTTTTCTCTCCGTCGTCTCTCTTCCAGACTTTGATTTTCCGATCGGCGGATCCGGTGTAAACGTATCCGTCCTGGGATACAACGATGGCGTTAATGGCGTCATCATGCGCGTTCCAAACGGATTCCAAACACTTAAAATCCGACGTCCGCCACACCTTAAACGTCCGGTCCCATGAAGCGGAGTAAAGAAGAGAACCGTCGTGGGACAACGCCAACGCCGCGACGGCGTCGACGTGATGCACCCATGTACTGCTCTTGTGCCGCCGTACCTTAACGTAGTTTTTGGCTAAAAACAGCTTTCCAACACGATCATTGAGCGTCGGCAACGTCGCAATTCGGGTCGATTTGATCAGTTTCTGATTATTAGTATCGCCATCGTCGTGATCGATCTTCCAAACGCGGATTTTGTGATCCTGGTGGCCGGTGAATAACTTGTCACCGCAAACCACCATCGACTTCACCGCACTCTCTCCATAAGCCATTAATTTTGGGACTGTTGGTGACGGGTGGCGAGGCCAGACCCGAATTTGGTTGTCGGCTGAGCCTGAAAGGAGGTGTTTTCCGGCGAGGGTGAGGGAGGATATAGAAGACGTGTGTGCTTTGAAGGTGGTGAGATACTGGTGGTTAGCTGTGATTTGTGGTTGTTTCGATGTTAACGAAGAAACCGACGCTAAACTTATTTGCGAGGAAAGAGAACTGGAATCCTGATGAGATTCCGGTACTATTTCTTGATCTTTTGACCAGGGGCGATGACATTGGAGAAGACCCATTAATCTGTTTGTTGTATTGAATCTCAATGCATCCGATGAAGGAAGGAGGTGTGAGTGTGAGTATGAAGAACAGGGATTTTGTTGATAAATATATAAATAGGATAGATCATAGAGGAAGTAGCGTACGGCGTATGATAGTGAAATACGCTTAAAAATAAAGTAGAGAAGAAAGGTGGATAGCGGTTGGCATGCAAGTTGTAGCTCCGTGTGGACCGGGTTGGATCCGGTTCCGGTGCTCTTGCAATTTCCTGTCTTCTTCTCTTATAAACAAGTCTTATTGGTCAAATCCGGATAATATTCTCTGATTATTCATAATATAATATATTATTATATATTATGTAAAAGAATGTGTTTTAAATTTTAATATTTAACTGATCATCAAAAGAAGTTAAGAATTAACAATAGATATGTTCTGACAATATGAAATGTTTTTATTTTAGGTAATATGAATATAACTAACTGTTATGTTAATCGTAGCTCGACATTAATTAAATGTAAAGAACAAAAAAAAAAAAAAACAATTTTATTCATGTTCCTTTCAATGAATCATTGATGACTAAAATAGAAATTAAAATAAGCATGGATTTAACTTTTTTTACAATTAATACTAAAATAATTACACTAGAAATAAAAATATATGATTAATTAACCATTAGTAGAATGAATAATGTTGATCGTGATGTTCGTTTAAATAAAAGAGTTTTGATATGGGATTATTTAACTGATATGAATCAAGTTGTTTTTTAAAACATCAAAATGTCCAATTAGGATATAGGAACTAATTTATAAAATATTATGTACGTATATATATGTTTAAGTGCAAAATATTTAATTAAGTAAGATATGCTTGCAAGTTGCCAATTGGATCACACCCCTTTCGGTTTTTGGAATATAATGTGCCTATCGGTTATGGTACCACCTTCTAAGCGTCTCCCTACCTTCACCATCCCACTTGATTATATACATACACATAGATACAAACACAAACATAAAGGTGTAGATATTAACTGGTCCCAAAGTCCAAAACTCAAGAAATGGCTCGATTAGATCATACGAACGTGTCTAACCCAAAAGGTTGTGAACACTTGATTCCAGAAGACACAATGATTAATTTAACGGGGTTGCGATTCACTGTATAAAAGAGAAATAAAGCTAAAATCAACTTACAAGTTAAAGATAGACCGACAGGATATTATTCTTTTGTTAATTCATAATATCTCAGCTTTGTTTCTCTTTTGATCGTATCATAATATTTTAACGTATTAGTTTAGACGATATTTATCTCTCTATCATAATATTTTAACGTATTCGATTAGACGATATTTATCTCCCTTTTGAATATATGGTGTTTCATAATGATGTCTTCAAGTGCTTGTCCGGCATAAGGATGTTAGAGTGTTGATATTTTATTATATACACATAAGTTACAATCTCGGGTTAATAACTAACTGTGAAACAGAAAAGGAATTTATATCTAATTTGTCAGTCAAACTATGCAAAATTAATTTAACCACACAAAGAATACGTCAAATTGATGTGGTTCCAGTATTGGTGTGATAATGTATGTCCACGAGAGAGGAGGACGGTATTTTATTAACTGAAGAACCGAATACATGATTACAATGATGTGTTACCGAAAAAAATAATCAAAACTTCCACAAATTAGCACCTAATTCTAATACTTGATAGAACTCTCTAATTGTTGTGTCACTTGTGTGAATTTTGTGCGAGGGAAGTGATTCTTCTACCGAAAAAATTGATTCATCCATATAGAATATATGTTTCTCTGACTTGTACAATAAGTGCAAGGATATTGTATTTGTTGATTAATCCATTTTTTAAATGGAAGAATCACCTCTCTATAATTATACCTCAAAGCAGCAGCCATTTATACATAAAATCGTTTCATAAATCTAGGAGTAATGAGTGTTGACTCTTGGATGTAAGGGAGTCATGGTTTTCTAATACAAAGAGTTAAGGGTGCGTTTGGTACAGAGAAATGGAATTGCTGCAGAGAATGGAAATGCAGAGAAAGAGAATTAAGATGGAGAAAGAGAATTGAGTCCCCTGTTTGGTAGAACTGAGAATCCACAAGAGAAATGTGCTGAGAATCATTTCTATTGTTTGGTAGTATTAAACAGTGAAATAGAAATGCATTTTTTTTGCCTTGTTTATTTATTTTCAAACAACATTGTTTTTATAAAAATGCATTATGATGCACATCTTAGTTTGCCAAAATATGTATATTTTATATTATAAATTTTTATTATAACATCACTTTTTACCAAATAATTTATTTTCTTGTTAATTAATATATATAATATTGAAAAACATATTTATAATATAATGAATAATTTACAAATAGATTCAAACTGAAGAAATATTATTACACCACATAATGAATACAATATATAAACAAGAATAATGAAATAATAATAGAGTTGTTCAATTATTAAAAATAGTATAAACACCACATAATGAATAGTGAAGTTTACATAAAAACATCGAATAAATTAATTATTGGCACGCCTTGAACTCCAATTAGTAAACATAGTATTAGCAAGAAGATCTCGACCGGTCAGTCCATCCTTGCGAGGTCTCCATTGCATAAAATGCTTTTACGGCGGATGTCCTAACAATTTGTCTATTTCGTACAATCTTTTGTTGCAAAGGTGTTCGTGTCATCTAAATATATACAAACAAGGAAGAGTTGGGACAAAAAAGCCAAAAAATGCTAGAACTATCGAAAGAAAAATCATAACAACCACTGTTTAGAGCTGCATAACTTAGCCAAAATTAAACAAAATAAGGTATTTCTTGAGCCTAAAATGTAGACAAGACAGACGACTACAATCTGAAAAAAAAATTGCCTCATTCCGAGCCGGTACGAAGATTTTATGATGGTTCAAAGTTGGAAAAAAAACTAAAAAATTGCTGAAACAGTTTACAAATATCCTAACAGCCCATGTTCGCGTCTACATAACTCAGCCAAAACTAAACCAAATAAGCTATTTCTTAAGCCTAACATGTAGAGAAGACAGAGGACTACAATCTGAAAAAAAAATCGCCTCATTCCGAGTTGGTATGAAGATTTTATGATGGTTCAAAGTTGGACAAAAAAGCTAGAAATTGCTGGAACAGTTTACAAAAATCCTAACAGCCCATGTTTACGGCTGCATAACTCAGCCAAAACTAAACCAAATAAGCTATTTCTTGAGCCTAAAATATAGACAAGACAGAGCACTCCAATTTGGAAAAACAATTCGCCTTATTCCGAGCTTGTATGAATATTTTGTGATGGTTCAAAGTTGAACAAAAAAACTAAAAAACGCTGAAACAGTTTACAAAAATCCAAACAGCCATGTTTAGGGCTGTATAACTCCCCCAAAACTAAACCAAATAAGCTATTTATTGAGCCTAAAATGTAGAAAAAATAGAGGACTACAATCTGGAAAAAAAATCACCTCATTCCGAGCTGGTATGAGGATTTTATGATGTTTCAAAGTTGGACAAAAAAGCTAAAAAATGCTGAAACAGCTTGGAACAATCATAACAGCCCATGTTTAGGACTATATGTCGCAATCATATCTTAATCAATTAAGCTGTTTTTTGAGGATAAAACATAGCCAAGATAGAGGACTACAATCTACAAAAACAATCTACTCATTCTGACATCATATGAAGATCTAATGGCTGTTCAAATTGAAGAAAAAAATAAAAATAAAAAACTGAAATTGTAAAAAAAATTTGCTTTATACAAACAACTAACCAGATACAAATAGCTATCGGTCCTCATTCATCATTATCTATAATTATGGTGACAAAAAGAATTCAAAATTAGCTATAATCGCATATAATATGGTCAAAATTGACCTTCACACAACACAAATACATAACTGAAATATGAAGAATTGAGTTTATAGATTGCAAGATTGATCGACATACCTTGAATCTGAAGATAGTGGTGACAAAATCGAAAAACAGGAGCAACCCAGAAGTGTGAAATCGTGATTCTATGATCGCAAAAACAGTCGATCGTTAGTCAATGATACGATCGACAGTAGGGCAAACGAAGAAGATGGGCTGATTGCATGAAATCCATACGCGATCGATTTTTTTTGGAGCACTGGATTAATTTTGCACGCAAGGGGGTTCGAATGGAGGTGTAATTGAATTCTCCGCTTTTTTTATCTGATGCTCGACCCAACGTAACACGTTGTTTTCTCTCCTTTTCCCTATTTTTAATAGGGAATTGTTTTGATGGAAAAGGAATTGATTTATTTCTCAATTCTTTATTTTTTATATCAACCAAACAAGAGAAAATGAATTGATTCTTTTTCTATTTCTCTGTACCAAACACCCCCTAAGGGTTTTGAATACCAAGTATGAATGCATGATATGTTTCTTGCTTTTTGCCCTCTTGGTATGACTAGGTTGCAATCTTTTCACCTTACCCCCTTAAAAGATAGACTTGAATTTAAACATAGCCTTAATTTGTATTTTTCTTTATCTTATTACACAGTTTTGAAAGTAAATTAAACTACTAGTCGGGTTTCACCCTTAGACATTTAACCTCTTAAAGTTTGATCAACGTGCTTGCTATTACTTCTCTTTCTAATTTGTAGTTTTTTCCGGTTTAAAAATAAACTTAAGCATGTCAAAAATAAGCTTAAAGTGTGGGTTGCTATTGAGAGGGAGAAAAGATTCACTGAGAAGAACAAAACTCAAGAACACCTTGATAAGTTAGATAAGATATTCGATGAAGGGTTTAACAATGCGTTTGTCAAAAGAAAAAAGCTCATTGTTACAATTATTGGAGAAAATTGAAGGTGGTGAGGTGAGTTTTCTTGCACAGAAGTCAAAAGTTACATGTGCTAAGGTAGGAGATGAAAATTCAAAGTTGTTTCATGGGATATTGAAAAAAAAAAGTGGAAAATTGTGGTGCATGGGATTCTTACAGATGGTGATTGGATTTCTGACCCCAATCTTGTTAAAAAAGA